TAGAGATAACTGAACATAAGAAGATTACTAAATGTAATGTATCCCATTGATAGAATGATGGACAAACCCATATGACTGGGAAAGTAGTTCAGAGTAGGGCACTAGCATGCAGGGGGCCCTAGGTTCAATCTTCAGTACTGAAAGAATAAATGGATCATGATTAGAAGCACAAAATGTACTTGATAAAATTCAACATCTCTTTGTGATTAAAAACTATGAAAAACCCAGTATAGAAGGAATATACCTCAACATAATAAAGGTCATATATGAAAAGCCAACAGGTAACATCATACCGAATGAGGAGAAGCTGAAAGCTTTGTTTGTAAGATCTGGAACAAGATTGTTGAAAGCCTATTTTTACCACTTTTATTCAACATTGTGCTGAAAGTCATAGCCAGATTTACTAGGCAAGAGAAAGAAATGAAGGACACCCAAATGGAAATGAGGAAGTCAAATCATCACTGTTTTTTAGATGGTGTGATATTATATATAGAAAAATCCCAGAGATTCTACCAAAAGACTATTATTAGAACTATCAAGCAAATTTGGGAACGTTTCAGAATGCAAAATCAACATATAAAAATCAGTAGAATTTCTATTCATCAGAAGCAAGTTATCTGAAAAATAAATTTTAAAAGTAATCCTATTTACAATTCCAAAAGATACTCAGGAATTAATTCAACCAAAAAAGATGAAAGAACTCTACAATGAAAATATTGATGAAAGAAATTGAAGAGGTCACACACACAATGAAAAAGCATCCAATGTTCATGGACTGAAAGAAATGATATCGTTAAAAGTCCATGCCACCCAAAGTAATCAACAGATTCAATACAGTTCCTATCAAAGTATCCATGACACAATTTGCAGAACTACAAAAAGCAATCCTAAAGTTTGTATGGAACTACAAAAATACCCTCAGCAGCCAAAGCCATCTTGAAGGTTATAAAAGCAGGAGGCATTCCACTGCCCAACTTTAAAACATACTACAAAGCTATAATCAAAGGAGCAACGCATTGACATGAAAACAGAGACAGAAAATTGGGACAGGATAGAGATCCTAGAAGTAAACGCACAAATCTACATTTGACTGATCTTTTATAAAACTGCCAAGAGTGTGCAATAGGGAGAGGGCTTTAACAATCGACACTGAAAATCCACAAGCAGACAAAGGAAATTAGACCTTAAATCATCAGTTACAAAAATCAACACAAAATGGATTAACCACCTAAATATAAGACATGAAGTAATGAAAGTACTAGGAAAAAAAATACAGGGAGAAAGCCTAAGTCTATTGAGATGGGCAAGGATTTTTTGGATAAGACAGCAAAAACACAGAAAACAAAAGCAAAAATGAGTGAATGGGATTACACAGACTAAAAAGCTGCACAGTGAAGGAAGCAAACAAAAGTGAGAAACACAACTTAGAGAACTGGCTAAAATATGCGTAAACTATACATCTGACAATGGGGTAGCACATAGAATATATAAAGAACACACAACTACAGCAAACATAAATATATTATAAGTAAATAAATAAAATCTGATTAAAATGAGCAGTGAGTAAATACACATCTCTCTAAAGAAAATGTGCAAATGGCCAACACACATATAAAAAAATGTTCTACATTCTTAATCATCAGAAACATGTAAATCAAAACCACAAGAGATACTGCCTACTCTAATATGAATGACTACTGTCAAAAACAAAGAATTAGAGACCAAAAATAGAAAAGATAGAAAGATATGAAAGGGAGAAAGAAAGAAGTAAAAGCAAGGAAGAGATGGATGGAAGGAAGGGAGGGAGGGAGGAAGAAAAGAAGAAAGAAAAAACTCAAGTGTTGGGAAAAACTTGGACAGAAGAGAACCACTGACCATTCAACTCTGTTGGTAGTAATGTAAATATAGTTCAGTCATTAAGGAAACAATATGCCTCTGCCCCTAAAATTTAAAAATAAAACTACTATATGATGCAGTAATCCCACCACTGGGTGTAGCCTCAAGGCATGGACATGTTCATTGCAGAACTGTTCACAGGAGTCAGGAAACAGAAGCAGCTGAAGTGTCCATTGGTGGAAGTGGAGGGGTGGATGAAGAAAGCAAGCAGGTAAAGGCAGGGGGGCACTATGAGTCCTCACGAGAGAATTCCTGTCATTTGTACAACATCGACAGAATGGTAGCTCATTATGTTAAGTGAGATAAACCGGGTACAGAAAGAGAATATTGCATGCTCTCAGAATAGTTGGAATCTAAGAAATCCGATGTCACAGGCAGAATGGAAAGGTGGTGTCCAGAGGTTAGGGAGACTGGGGTAGGAGCTGGGGAAAGTTTCTCAAGGTCTACTAAGTCACAGTGAGACAAAAGCAAGTCTGGTGTGGGGCGCCTCCAGGTATACATATGCAGTTAGCTCAAAAATAACTTTTTCATAAAAATGATAAATATTTGAGGAAATAGATATACTTACCTTTCGTGAATGTCACATAATGTATACATATACCAAGAAATCACACAGTGCCCCATAAACTTTTCTTTCTGTCCTCTTTTCCTTCACCTCTTTACTTCCTCCAACTCCATGACCTAGTCCCTCACCTACAATATTTGAAACTTATTTATCTGCCTTCTGTTTTGCTGTGTGTACAGGGATTTTCATACAAGAGAAACCATTCAGTATTTGAGTTTGTGTGTCTGACTTACTTCACACAATATTATGGCCTCAAGTTGTTCCAGATGCATCATCTAGTAGAGTATATTAAATAAACCATTTAAATATAGCTCCATTTCCTAATTAAAATCTAAAAGTGCAATCCGACACAAATGCTTAAAACTTCTAATCTTCAGTAAGAGTTGCATAATATTTTTTAAAAATTGAAAATCTCTTAACATTATGAAGAGAATAAATTTTATTAATTATAATATATATGTAATACCATTGTGTGTGAAAGGTGATGCTGATATGGCCCAGGTGCACAAATTGAGTGGAGCTGACTGCGCACGAAAGGGAAGTCAAATGGCTGGGTGTGGTGGGACACAGTTGTAATCTCAGCTACTTAGGAGAATGAGGCAGCAGGAGGATAAGCTCACGCCCAGCTTGGACAATTTAGCAAGACCCTGTCTCAAAATTTAAAAAAAAAAAAAAAAAAATGAAGCAAGACTGGGATGTAGCTTAGTGGTAGAGCAATTGCCTAAATGCCTGAGGTCTTGCATTCCATCCCCAGCCCTCCTAATAATAAATAAACAAATAAATAAAGTAAAATAAAGGGTAACTTGATTAGTCACATGCAAATTATTTGCAATATGTGAAAAGGAAGCACTTCTCAAACACCCAGCACTTGCACTGGTGGAGGCAGGGCAGGGCTGACTTCCGACTTCCTTCCGGGCAGGGGTGTGAAGGACAGAGTCACCCAGGGAATTTCCTGAGGCCGGGGCCGGAATGTCGGGAGTGAGGTGAGGACCGAAGACTCAGGCCTGCGGTGGGCATGTGGAGCCGTGCTCAGAGATGGAAGTGTAGCCATGAGCGTTCGGTATGGGAAGGTGATTGCGTCCACTTTGGAGTTGGGGTGTGTGTCCGTTTCACTCTTTGTCAGTTGCTGTCATTGTTATCAATTACTAAAGAAAGCATTACATATGTAAGTAACGCATGATGTGATACTTCTTTTCAAGTCTATGAAGTGTGAGGGAATTTCTCTCTTTTGCTAGGTTTTCTGACTTGTCAGATGGTTTAGGCAGTAACAGTCCTCATAATTCCCCCGTCTTTGCGCTCTTACTGCCACTACACATTTTATCTTGAGATTACCTTCACATAAATAATATGTGCCACTGAGATATTTGCAAATGTAAGAGGCAAAACGAAAGTCCAGGCTATTTACAATAAAATGTTTAATGTTCCTTTTGCAAGCCAGGCTCGAAATTTGGCAAAAGAGAGGTGGGAAGCTCTTTTAGGGTTATACAGGTCAACGTGGGATATGTGTAGGGGATGAAAGAACCGAGCCATGATAGAACTCAACAGAAACACAGCAAATGCGGACCAAGATGAGTCTTTCCAGAAAAATGGAATAAATTAAAATCACTTTTGCAATATACGGTGAAATGGGAGAGAAACTAAGTGAACATTCATGACAATACTGTGTAAATAGTGGCAAGTCATGATGTAGTACCCGTCTAGCAAGCACAATAAATGACTAAATGTGTTTTGGAATTAGAGAAACCAAATTACTGGATTACTGAAAATCACTGATATTACAATGGATAAAAGTTGGAATAAAATAAATTTTTGTCTTAGTTCTATAAATAATTTATATTCTATTTCCTGCACCAAAGTACATGTCCTTTCTGTCCATGACACCAATGTTTTCCTGTTTTCTGAATTAAAGTCCTAGAACAGACAGAAGTATATGCATAAATATAACTACAAGACAGAAAGGAAGCATTTTGATAAAATATTTTATTATTATTAGGAATAATATCATCATGGTTATAAAAATAACAACTTTATTAACTACAGAAACTTTATAATACAAGTCATAACCACAGTGTCCCTTTTTCCAGGTAAGCATCCAGCTCTACCACTCAATAGGCAGCTTATTGATTTCCTATTTACACATACAACACTCATAGTATCCACAGTATTCTAGTTTCAGTTTCCTAAAGACAGAAACTTTATGTGCAAATGGAAATGAACCTATTTAAAAGTTACACTGTTAAGAGTTGCAAGGTCTAGAAATTTTTAACTTTTTTGTGTATTAGTTGAATATTGAGAACTAAATTCTTTTCTGGGGGGACTAAATCGTGAAAAGTAATTTACTAAAATTATTAATGTTGAAAAGACAAATATGTCATTTTACTCAATTTAATTCTTCAAGTGAGTTTTTCTATAAATATATATAATAATTGAAAGTAATTATTCCTTTGAACTTCAGTAAGTCAATGTAAGGCTTTGTAGTATGGAATTTATTAAAACCCCTTACCTCATGATCTTTATATTGCATAAGTAGTATTTATTATTTTTTTTAAAAAAAGTTTAGAAACCAGAAGAAAATGCCTGACAGCCATTTCTCAATGCTTGACAGTGTTCTTTTCAAGAGAATGTTGTGGTTATAACATTCACTTTGTACAGTACCATTGGTACCAACAAGAAATATTCACAGGAATAAGTGAAATACAGTTGTGCTATCACATGCCATGGTCAATCGCCTCTTGCCTGCAGTGTTTCACATTCTCCTTTGGTTGCTGGAAACACTCAGACAACAAGCAAGAGCCTGTTAATACCAGAGAGCAACTCGATAGAAACCCTTTCACTGAGGACCTGCCCGCAGCAAACAGGTAAAAGTCATTATACATTTTACAATAAAATTAAAGAAGTATACAAAAAGATTATCATCGCTTCTGCACAGCAGAGGCATTATGACAAATATTTTAATTGTACATTTCTATTTCTGGTAGACGTAAGAAAATGTCTACAATTAGAACATCATAAAACTGTTATTCAAACAGCCAAAAGAAACAGAGCATCAAAAACTTTTAACCTAAAAGGCCCCTTTTCCATGTTATTAATAGGAGATTTCTAGATAAACTGAACTTTTTAATTATTTTGTAGTTTATTCAGAGAAAAACACCCACTAATAGAATCTTTTAGCCGGGAATGACGATGTTATGCCCTGTCCTCCCGGCTAACATAATGTGGGTGTCCTGTGTGGTCAGTCATATCCACGGCGCTACATCCAAAACTAAGCCTAACAAGGTGAGAACTGACTTGTGTACCCTGTTTGGTGATTTATTCATGTTATTTTTACCCTTTCATAAGATGGCAAGCACTGAGTTCAAAACATCTAAAAACTTAGCTGGATCTTGCATTTAAATTAATCCTTATCTCTTTCCATGGAGTTTTACAGAAAATGACATTAAAGAAATATTTTTAAATGTAAGTGTTTTAATGTATGGCAATTCTTATAAAATTTTTACTGGTATGATAAATATGTAGCTTAATAGTTGGGACTCTTTGTTTCCAATGTTTCTTAATGCCAGCATCTCTTTCATTACCAAAGTATCTTCTTAAAGAAAACAAAAACTTGGCATCATTTGCATAAGCATTTCTGTATTCACTGTCCTGTCCTCTGTGGACTACACTCCCCATAAACTGAGAACCAGCTTATTCCAGGCTGCAGTACGCTGGAGAATGATTAGGGCATTGTTTGGATTCATGGCCTTGGCTTCATGACTTAAGAGAACCAAGCCAGAGAAATGGGAAAGTGGTTCCAAACCACTCAAATTATTCCTGGTCGATACAAGAAGATTTTGTGAAAATTCAGAGCCTATTTCATGGCTCCTTTTCAATCTCACTTCTTGACAAATATATGATTATTAGCTAGTCATGCCAAACAGAATGAATAATAAATAGAACAGTTTGGCTATTACCATATAGAGCACAAAACTTAAATGGATATTTCCCATGGCATTAGGAAAGACCTGTGTTAAACGAAATAAGATAAAGTGAAGATACCTTGATAAAATATCTGATTCAGCAGATGCAACTCTACATTTAAGAAATAATTGAATGCAGATTTAGACAAAATAGTTACTTCCATTGTATAATTTTTCCTGTACTTCAATAAAGTATTAGTATGCTAAAATATTTCCAGGTTGAGAAAAATATTTTTATTTTTTGCTCTGATATTTAGTTTAATGCATAACATGGTAGATTATTAATAGAACTTTTTGGAGGCACATGGAGATTTTCCTCTTAAATATATATTATATATTTTAAATTTAAGGAGTGCGAACTAGAATCCAATCACAGCAGAAAGTCTTGGAATGAAGCTATTTTAATACCTTTTTAATGACCAAGACACTTTTACATTTCTTCACATTAGATACAATTTGAAAATTTAAGAAATACTTTGGAGCATAGATCAACAAATATCTTGCATAAATATGTGACCCTAAAGTTTGAGGAAAGAAATAATATAAATACATGTATTAGTCTCTTCCCTCTAAGAATTAGAAAATACATGAAAGAAGGAGGATAATAAATATGTAAACACCTAGATTAGGCAATATTTAATTCTGCAGGTCCTAATCTCAGTTTACAAAATCACCAGTAGAGGTCATCTATAGATTGGGTACAGAAGATAGTCACTTCTGTCTTCTAATTGCCCTTAACATCTCTACTGATCTTCAGAAATTTCTCCTGTTCTTCTTGAAGAAAAACTACAGATACATACCTCTAAAGTATTGAGAGATTACATTAGATACACCATGATTTGAACTGTACAAGTGTACCCGGGTACGTGTAACAGATGTGGGGTTTTGTAAAAGTGAGTTCGTCTACCACTGTTTCAGGATACACAGTGACAGAACTGAATGAGCTATCGCATATGACATATGAAAGGCAACCGAATTTAATACAGAGTTACAATTTAAGATCACAAGGTATAAACTGTTTGGGTGAGGTTAAAATAATGCTTAACTTAGGTTTACTCGTCATTAAGAAACTAACCTTGGAAAGCAGCCTGGCGAGATTAACTGATCTAGTCCATTAAATCTTTTATCATCCAGCAATTATACCTTTTGCATTTTTAATCCATTCAAGTATCTTCAGGAGTTATGTTACTGCACTTGCATGTACCTTAATTCACTTCAACATTTACAAAATAACACTGACAAACGAAACAACAGAAACACTCATAAGCATTAATGAGTATCCTAACACAACACGACACTCAAGTAGTTGTTTCAGGGTTGTTGTAGGTGACAACTCCACTCCACGTCCTCTGAGTTCTTCCTGTGAATGTGTCGGGTGCGAATGGATGCTTCAGGTACCTGCACTTCAGCTATGACTGTGGTACCTTATACGTTAAGATTATTTTGTGTATCCACTTTGCATAATAGGCCACTCGGACAAAAATACCAGGGCGGTTGGGGATGGCACAGCCGCGGCCGGGAACGATGACACCGAGGACCATGCGCATTTTGTGCTGCTCACAGATGAGCGGGCCGCCGTAATCCCCCTGGGAAGAGACAGGCACAGCAGCCGTGCGTTAGTCCAGAAATAACAGGCGCGATCAGACGCCGAATAGTCTCTCTGGTGTGAGAAACCGAAAGCGTAAACAAGGATCAAAACGCGTAACAGATAATGTGAGAGAGGAACAACAGGTCCAAAGGGGGAGGGGAAGTGCGAGGGGTAGGGGAAAGGAAAGAAGGGAATGGAATTAATATGAGAAAAGGGAAAAATAGAAACAAAGTCTTTGTAAATAGGGAGGGGTGGAGGGGTTGAAGGGAGGGCAGGGGAAGGGGGAAAAATGAGAACCAAGATGGATTACGTAAAGGTACAAGATCCCAATGATGAATGTAACTGTATTCTATACCTAAAATGTACCAAAAATTAATTAAAACAAGAAATAATGAGTATAATTCCATGGCATTATCCTCCACTGACTTGCACCTCAAAGGTACATAAACACAGACACGACCCGGGGAACACTGCATCTGAAATAGGAACAGAGAAAACTGAGGTTTCCAGGCCACGGTGGCCTTTCTGTGGAATTAGCCGAGGGAGCCTGAGACACACAGGAAAAGCCAAGGGTTTTGCAGTATGCATCGTTCACTGAGGAAGGCTCACTGTTGCCAAAGCATTAATTTATCCATAAAAATGTGCTTTCCCTTTGTTGAATGCAGGATAAAGCAACCATTGATATTTACTAAATAAAATCCATTTCTAGTTATTTTGATCTTCTGGTGTTTCAACTATGTTCAAAACAAAATTTGAAAAATACAGAAAATGTTTGAGTAAAAAGCACCGTGATACTGTTTTAATGATTAAACCATTACATCTTCACTTATTTCTAAAATCAGTTTTTCCTTTCCCCAATCTGTCCTCAGATGATCTCACCAAGTCAAATAAAAAGCTTTCAGTTGATAAAATAATTCTATATATTATTGGGAAGTTTCATTTTTCTCACAAGCAATATCCCCAAATGGGGAATATGAAGATGTGCTGAAGAAAAAACTTCTACGAGTAAAGAAAAACTTTACTCTAAGAGACTTTGTATGACGTCTAACTTGGAGGTGATAAAACTAACTGTTGTGTTTTTTTTTAATGCATGAGTGATTCCTGATAGGAGCTCTTTGGAGACTTGTAGATGTGATGCTATTGCTACCATATACACACATTTGAGAGATTTCTCTTTCAAATTTCCTTCAGTGGTTCAATTACCTTATTTTCAATGTCATATATGCATATGCATATATGTGTGTACACAAACATATATACATACATGTACCTTTATGAACATATATAGATATGTATGTACATTCTGGAGAATAAATGTATTTTTGACAAGGGGCAGAATCCAATTAAATTCAAGTCACCAATAAGAATAAAATTTCAAAAATGAGCTAAAGGTATAAATACTTCAAGGCTAAAGTAATGAAACTAAGAATGCACATATTCTTAATTTAGACTAAGGGTTATGTCTGAAAAGCAGTACACAAGCTATTATCAGCAGGGGTAAAGTGGGGCTACATGGAGTAGCACTTCGAGAGGAGTTCTCAGACTGGGTCTAGCTTGCAACTTGTGCGCTCACCGGACTCTTAGGGCTTAAAAAGAAAACCATCCTCTTTTTTCTCCTACTTAGAGTTTCCCTTGTAATGCTCATTTCCTGGAAAGACACCAAATTTGAAAGTGTTTATAAACACGTAATCTGTTTCTAATCATATCTCTTAAAGGCGGTTCTAAAACGTCTTTAATTTAGTAAATGTTTTCTCTTTAGGAATAAAAATCTCAGAGCAAAGTACTGACACACATTTCAATACATATTTATGATCCAGACTTAGGGCACACATTTGCATTTGCGTACATACCAATAAGCACTGCACTATCCTGCACTCACTTCATGGTCTGCATGCATCTGCTCCCACCACTGCACGGCTCGGCGGCTTGGAGAGCATGTATGGAGAGTATGTATGTACACGCTAAGTGCGTCTCACACGACAGCCTAGCAGCTTGACTGTGTAAAATGGGGACAGGAACCAGGCCAAGCGGGAAGAGCAGTTGCCTGACAAATGAAAATGTCCAAGCTCTTGGGGTCACAAACTTTGACCTTCAAGTTTTTTAAATAGAATTTGTTTACACACACACACACACACACACACACACACACACGGCCTAATCAAAACCACATTTGAAAGTTTAAAACCAGGCATGGTTCTCGTAACATTTTTATGAAGTTCATTTAGGGAGACTTTGGGCGATGAGATACGTTTAGGAAAACTGTAGACAATGCAAGCTATTGTATCATAGGATTTGGATCCTTGTAATGCGAACAGCTTCCGGGAGAGTCCGGCTGCACCCAGGCACCTGCTGTGTACTGCCAGGAGGAAGCTGAGCGCTCACTGCTAATCCAAACAAGGCCAAAGCCGCGTCGCCCTGGCAGTCCCCTCCCCAGAACAGGGTGGCCTGCGAGTGTTTGATTTGAGAAACCTAAGCGAACACAACAAGCCTTCGCCGCGCGCTCCCTACCTCGCATGGCCCGGACCCGCCCTTCTCGGGCCCGGCGCAGAGCTCGGCCTCGCTCAGGGTGACCTTGCCGCGGTGGTGCCGCGCGCACTGCTCCGGACCCACGACGTGCAGGTGCGCCACGCGCAGGAGGCCGTCGGCGCTGATGGCTGTGGACACGGACGGGCGTGGGCGCGGGAGGGGAAAGGCGGGGGCGCGCGGGGCGGGGACGCGCGGGGCGGGGACGCGGCGCTCACCTCCCGTGTAGCCCCAGCCGTACACGCTGCAGGTGGTGCTCTCCGGGATGGCGCAGCCGTAGTTGGGCAGGTCCACGGTACTCACGGAGTCGTCCAGCATGGCCGGCCTGCGGGAGCGGACCTCGCGGGGTTAGGCCAGGAAAATGCATGCGGGAGGTACCGACCGAAATCGGAGCGGGAAGGAGCCCTTGTCCCATTTGGGATAGACAACCCCTCCATGCAGCAAGACCTGAAGACTGGACAGCACACACGGGACGCAGCAGAGAAGACCGGGTAAAAGCCCATTTAAATGAGTCAGCTGGTCTCCTGATGGAAGACCATGCGGCTGACAATTGTATTACTCAGTTTCCCCATCGCTCAGACAAAAGGCACAGCGCTCAACACACAGGTGACGCGGCTTCGTCGGGCTATTCGGGGAGATTCAGTCCACGGTCATCTGGCCCCGAGGCCCAGACAGCATGGTAAAAAGTAAGGACAAAGGCCGGCGGCTAACGGGCCAGCCAGGGCAGAAGAGGACGGGCAGGCGCCTTCTGCTCCACGCCCCGCGCGACCCGCACCCAAGGCCAAGACAGCAGCGCCTGGCACCGCCTCCTGCAGGGCTAACCTGGCCAGCTTCAGCAGCACCAGATCCGAGCCTTCGGGCCCGAACACCAGCTGGGACACGTTCCGAACCTGCCTGCGCTTCTCCTCGCCCCGGCCGTGCACGTCGTGGATTCCCAGCCAAGCTTCATAGTCTTTCAAGTCTCTGTTCCTAAGTTAAAAAAAGGGGGGGGGGCATGTAAACCTTATTTCCAACTGTAATCTTGTTTGTGTATACCCCTCTTTTAGCTTATAGGATGAACAACCTACATTTAAAATTTGATTCAATGTATAAGACGCCCAGCACCCAAGAGGCTGAGGCAAGGGGATCTCCGCCAGTTCAAAGCCAGCCTGAACTACATAGCAAGCCCTTGTCTCAAAAAAGGAAAAACTAAAGGAGACAAAAAGGACAACACATTTGTTATGGAAGATTCTGAATCCTACCAGCATATATAAGCAGAAAGAGCTTTTAAATGGCTGAAATTCTAAATGACTATTTTCAAACATTTTTGATTATACTTGCTAGGGAGTGAGTCACTCGTGAAAATGCAGGTAAACTTCTTTACATGAATTATAACTTCTGTGCAAACTTTGCTTTATCTCAGCTGTGTACATATTTGGTTTATTAATGAGGATTGAAGTTTTAGTGACCTTGATAAGAATTAGGAAGTAAGTGTACAGCAGCTGTCTCTTTATGTTCTCTTGGGGCTTATTTTCATTGAAATCTATTCCCAGGGTGACTCTGGAGCTGTCTCTACGTAAAAAAGGAGAAGCAAGGATTGAGAGAATTTGTTGATAGTTTAGGAACAAGAATTTCTCTGTGGAAATAAGAATGCAAGTGGGAGGCTAGAACATAATTTATTTACATAGTGCAAGCAAACATTTTTCCCCAGTGAGAGTATGCTAGCATGAAAAGCAGTAAATTGAAGTAATATTAAACATAAAAATATCAATGAGGTTAAAGTTTATAAGCTAAATTTAAATAAATTAACTTGTTCATCTCATGCTAGTGAATCTCTGTAAAATAAAATCACATTCTAAGCTGAAAAGCCAAGGAGAAGGCACACATATTTTTAAATGTTGAAAGGTACTGATTGACAAAACATTTTACCTAGCAGGGAAACATTGTCTTGCAGTAAGGACCCAACTTTCCTTTATCAATGATCCTCCACAGATATGTTTATTTCTAAAAAAAACAGGAAAGAAAAACAAGTAACATCTGCACAGAAAGAGTTGCTGCCAATTAATGCAAAACCTATGGCTCCATCTGTTTTTTTCGTTGTCGTTTTTTTTTTTTTTGGTACCAGGGATTGAACTCAGGTCCTTGCGCTTGCGCAGCAGTCGGCAAAACGACTGAGCTAAATCCCTGGCCCTCCAACTGTTAAAAATAAATGTAGTAGAGACGAAAATACAGACATTAACCCAATTAGAATAAACTTAGTAGCAGTCCTTTGGTCTCAAGGGTAGTATTTGCAGGTTATAGCATTAACATTTTTAATAACATGATTATAATTTTATTAAATGCATTTTATGGTTTAAAGAACAGTCATTTAACAACAGTAACAAACATACTTATCTCTGAGAGAAAGAATGCGCTGCAGTTATCAGATTGAAAAAAATTGGAACTGTTTGAAATCTCGAATGTGATCATTAAAAATGCAAGTTAAGGTATTACTTAAACCTGAAAACTATTCAGTGGTAGCAACATGTATTACTGTTACACTATTCCCCCTTTCCTTACCATTATTTAGTTTTGATATGTTGAAATATTACTGAGTTTGAAGAATATTTGCCCAGTCTAAGACCCACAAGATAATATTTCATTTATAAAAGTAAATCAGTTTCGCCAGACAAATCACCTAGGAATCTGTAAAATATTTATCGGGAATAATAAGTACTAGTATATTTATTTACTGATATCCAAAATCCGTAAGTCCATTCATTTTTGACAGAAACATGGAACAAGTACAACTTGTCGTGATTTACATTTCCAAGGAGTACAGATGTTCCGTGCTCAGAGGGTAATGCTAGAAGTTTCTTTGACTAAGCTCATGGTTATTTATGGCCTGTACCACACAGAATGATAAAAGTTTATAGAGTTTTAATTTTTCTTCTCTTAGTATGTATTTTGGAAGAATAACCAAACAGCTGTTGTTGCTAAGAATATGGACTTAAAAGAAAAATGTCCTAAAAGTTTGTGGTACTCTGATCTTATGAAAACAGTTACTTGCATCCTCAGGAATGAAGACTCACAGAAAAGCATCTTTCTATATTCTCTTCTTGGCAAATAAAATTCAAAAGTCTAAGCTGTTTTTCCCCTCTGGGGTTAGGCATTAGGAAAGAGCCACTAAGAGCCACTAAGTAACTGAGAGATGTGGGTTCTTTAAATATTTTCTATAATAAAAAATTTTAATTTCTATTAATTAAATTTCTTTTATAAAGACCATTTTCCAAAATAAAATTAAACACTGGAAAGAGTTGGCCTTTATACATCTTCATATTGCAGTCACTTGTATTCTGATTTGCTTCATAATTCCATTTCAGTACTACAACCCTAGGACAGCTACACTAGGATTACTGGCATAAATACTACATCTCCTAAGTTATTCCTTGAGAGAGATACACTAGGAGAGAACTTCAGGCTGTCTCCTGCAACATTACGGTGAGCTAAAGTCATATAACAAAGGACAGAATGCCATGCTTGCCAACAGTTGGCTGATTCATAAAGTTCTTCAGCTTTGAGCTGTCTCTATTTTATTTTAATGTCGCTGACAATAAGAGATACCATGTAATGGCCATAAGAGATACATCTTCTTCCACTAGGAGGCTCCTGTTGAGCGAACAGGAAGGAAACGGAGGAGATAGTCTAATGGGATTTTCACCATGAGACGTTTTCGGGTATGAAGCATGGAGGAAGGGAGCCACTTAGTTTAGGGTTTCCAAGGGAGGAGCAGAGGTGCGTGGCGCACCTGGGAATGGAGCTGAAATTCAGCACTGGGCTGTGTGGCCTGACACAGATGGAGACGTAGGCATCCTGATGACCACATGGACCGATACAAAGGGATGTGATGAAATGTAATAAATCTTAAGTGCACTCACATGTTCAATAATTCTTATAGGACAGCGACTAAGCTTAATTATGATATAATTTGCTAAGAGATTTTATAAAGGAGCCTACCACTCATTCTTAAGACCACTGAAGAAAGTGGACATATTTAAAATTCCTTATTCACGCTGATTATAAAATCAAGACTACAACTATTAAAGGTGTTACTCTTTTTCGTAATAAAATACTGTGAAATTTTTAAATGTCATTTTTTTCATTTAATGACAGAATTTAAAAATAAACATAGCATTTCTGATACAATTATGTACAGACATATTAGAAATTAAGTCATCTTATTCTAGACTGGAGAGTTCGTAAGATACGTATTGTAAATACTATGGAGCTATGAAAAAAGACAGAAGTAGCTCTTCTACATAGTTGTCTTTTGTTTAATCATAGCCACAGTGTCACTTGGAATCGAAGACAGTGGCAGCACCTGTGAGACTGTGTGGACACGTAACAAGGCTGTCAGAGGCAGGAGCTACAGATCCCGGGCGCACAGCTTAGCAAGAAGCTGCTAAATCCCTTCTTCCAACCCCCGGGCGAGCACTTGGAGAGGGCAAGGCTTCATGACCACCAGGGACCACGCTGTTGGGAAGAGGATTTCGCAAAGGGTTCAGACAGTGTGCTTTGTGTCATTCGTAATTACCTGAACTTCAAACTAACCATCCATCCTACGTTTGTCCGTGCTGGGATCCCGTTAACCACTCGCAATTGCTTCGTTTTGGCACAAGATATCACAGGATCTGAAATCAGGACCACACACGGTGTTTTCACATAGCAGTGGGAAGCAGCCAGTGCTTTTCTTGCCTTTGAGTGCACGGGTAGATAGACAAGTGTAACTACTGTAATTGCATCAGAACGCTTTGTGAAATGGGTAACAAATGACCTCAGACCCACATCCAGCCCTAGGACCGCCACCTCCGCTATTGGTGACCGACACAGAACAACTCATTGGCTCAAAGCAGTGAAGATTTATCACTGCGGTGACAGGGGCTTTGCCCAGCACCCACTGAAACTTAGTTCTCCAAGTGCAGTGTTAATGTTCTTCCCTCACCATCCTCAAGATAAAATGAGGCAACGCTATTTACATTGTCTACATGTCAACAGCAACCTGCACCCTGAGCAAAACAGAATGACATGATGTGGTTTTCTGCATTTGTAACAGTAAGAATCTAGAGAGCACGGTGTCCACACTGTACCCCTAGAGTCGGTGTCCGAATGACGTTATGACATCCGTGTCCCAGTGAGATAACTCGGAGCCTCCCTGAAGGCAACTTCAGGCCCCTCCCGTGAGCGCCTCATCTCATCCTTTTAGTCTGTTCCTGTCTAGAATAGATTTTCTTCTGCTTCGGCCTGAGTATTGCAGGTGGTCTTTCCAAAGAGTAACTTCTTTCAGCCCAAGAAATGTGTGAAATTGAAAAGCAAGCAGCCTCACAGCGACTCTCCTGCGGAAGGCGACCGGCTCCTCTGTCAGTGTCATCCTCCGCCTCTCGGCTGTGGGGCTTGCATGGAGCATTAGGACAGCCAAGCTCGGCACCGAGGGTCCTCTGTAGCGGGCCCCTTCCTCCTGATGTGGCCCCCGAGCCCATTTGGAGGGGGTGCACATAAAAATAGCCCTTCCTATAGACTGTCCCCCAAATTCAATGTAAACGTGAGTGCTCTTTCCAAAACCACATGAAATATCTTGTAAATTTTCTTACAGAGTTGAATTTTCATATTCAGAATGCAGTTGTCTTTGACTATTTTACACCTACACACAGGAAAATACATACTTAATAAAAGCAAAGCACCTGCTTTATTTTTTATGACGGACATCATTAAAGCGATATTTGTTGGGAAAAATATGACGACATCATGTGTAGAAGAGAGATGCAGATATGCTTTATATCTGGAAAGATTACTTACGGTCTAGATTGATTGTAGGTGTGGTATCCCCTTCACCTGTAAAAATAAATGCTTAGATACATAAATAATTCACTACATACATAGGTCTATGTAGCCACTATGTAGCCCAGGCTGGCCTGGAACACTCAGCAATCCTCCTGCCTCAGCCTCCTGAGTGCTTGGATTACAGGCGTGTGCCAGCATATCCAGCTAAAATTTTGATATTTTATTAAAGATACAACATAATGCTTCTCCTTTTTAGTAATTTTGTATCAGTTTTGCAGGACAAATGTGCGTGACTGAGGAAAGCCTGATTTCCTGACTGTGAGGCACTCCACTCTGGTGTGCAGGACTGAGCCACACATAGCAGCAAGGAGTGACCAACACCAGGCTACTTCCCTGATGACAGTGGACCCTCCACTGATCCCAGAGATGCTCAGTGCTATGTACTTGGACCTCTCCTCTGGATAAATTGCTTTGTTTTGGTTGTAGTTTGGATTACATAATTTTTTATGAAAATTATTTTATTTTCATATGGTTTGGTATAATTAAACCTGTGCATGCCCTGGAACCCTCTGAAAGATGGAAATCAATGTCTCGTTTGGAAAAAAAAGGATGATAATGTATATTCTTGGACTGCTTCAAAGACTTTTTTTCAGATGTTAGTAAAAAATATGGAAAAATACGAAAACCCTGGAAACTACACATTGATTCTATCTGTGTCCTCTTGACACACTCCTTTTTCATGATCCCTCTTCTGGGATTTAATTGCTGTACGAAGAAAGGCTTGGAAAATGCTAGGAGTTTGGAAATGCTTGTGCAGTATAAATGAGACACAAGACATTTCCTGAAGCTGAACTTTAACAGCTCAGAGTAATGCAAGAGCCGAGTCAGACTCTGTGTAGACCCAGCTGGGTGTTAAGCCCTGGAAGTGCCCTGAGCTCAGATAAACTGGGGACAAAAGAATAAGTGCACATGGATTCCTTTGGAATAGGTGCAAATTGTATTGTTATTTATGAGGGTACTTGAGGGAATTCCTACTTGCTTAAGGGTCTTTATTTATTTTCATTTTTCAGACCCAGGTATTTTAAATGGATAAAGGTAAAGGAGAACAAATAAATTTTACCGTGTTCTTTTCTCTTTTGCTTATCCTGGGGGAAGAAGGTTCTCCGAGAGCCCACTGAAGTCTGCATTTTAGTTTATAGGACAAAGTGGAATCGAGCCAGAATATGGTCAGGAAGGACTGGTTTTTCCACTCAAGTCAATTACTTGGAAATTGTGAACAATTAGATATTTACTCCTTATGTTGTGATGAGAAAGAGCAAAGTATTTCTATCCTGAATTGTGTATTGATTCTTTTATTTCTAAGTATCAGCTTACTTGGTCAACAAAGCAATCAGTTCATTATTGTATCTTAGTAAGTATTTAAAGTCTGACACACTTATAGGTGTTATAAATTTTAGGTTTCAAAAATAACACTTTGAAAATAAACGACATTTGCCAAGCTTCTTCAAGGCCAACATTTCTCACACTTTACCCTAAGCTGAATACCATTTAAAAGTCAGATTTTTGGAGACACTGGCTTTCCGAGTTTTTAGAAAGCACAATAGAATCTTCGGGTGCACAATGAGCCGAGCTATGAGAAGCTGCATCCAGGGCCTTTGCATTTTGCTCTCACATAGGATCCTGACTCCCACGTCCCCCACGCTCTGGACTGCATGGCTCCTGTCTGAGAACTGTGCAGTCAAAGTCTCATTTCAGATTGGTCCAACTTCACTTTGAAGAAGGAAAGCATGGAAATGACAAAAGGCTTACTTATGTGAGAGAGGCTGAGTTTGTGTGTGCGTGTGTCTCTGGCCTCACAACTTCACTATGGGATTCTCTCGAAACACTGAGACACCTTGCTTTTACTGTATTCTAAAAGTTTCAACTTAGGTTCAAAACTTAAAAACACCACATATTTTTATTTTTTATTTTTTTGGTACTGGGGATCGAACTCAGATCCTTGTGCTTGTGCAGCAGGCAGTGAAACCACTGAGCTAAATCCCAGGCAACATCACATATTTTTCCAGGCAAATATCTATGTTCCCATTTTACTTTATACGGTAATGTTAATATATGTTTACTATGTAATTATATTGCTTTGTGATTGTTTATATAAATGCCTCCTCTCTATGCTGTAAAGTATGTGAGGTTGGTTAAGAAACTATATTTTTTGTATGCCTACTATTTAGGGCAACACAAGCTCAATAAAACATATGAGTGAAGGAATACATAAAACCAGAGAAATTAAGAAAAATTTAAGTACTTACTATGCAAAAGATACTCTTTACAATACTCAATAGACACTTTATTGCACAGCTGTTTGAACAGAGGGTTAGTGATAAATAAGTTCTTGCCCAAAGTACTTACAAAGTGGACAAAGATTGTTACTCAGCAATCTGAGCTGAAACTCAGCTACTGCAGTCTCAGTAGTTAATATTCAAGATTTTTCTAAGATATACTAAATGGGTGCATGTACAGATATATAGGCATGTCTACATTTTACTTTTATATGTTTGATAAGTTTAAATATATATGTCAAATATTACTTTGAAAGCACTTTAGAAAAAATGAATAAAAACATTTCAATGTTTTGTGTGAGAAGTGTACAGTGTGAAAATGATTAACATAGCCTCTGAGGTTAAATAAATAATTAGAACTCAAATCTTTTAAAGATAAATGTTATGAGCCTTTCACCAGGAAGAAAATGTAAATAAATCCTGGCCATAAATATCAGTTAGAAAAATGATGGTGTAAAAATATTTATTAAAATTAATGTTTAGTATACATGGAAATAAAAATGAATTATCTGCAATAGCTTTTAATCAAATACTAGCAACACCTAAAGTCTTTCAACTGCACATTAGTCACTTTTAGTTTAAAAATATTAGTTGAAAATTTGGGGGAAAAACTTTAAAATTATTAGAGTACTATCTCTCTCATTTGAATTTAGAAAGTGAGTCACAGGCCCACAAGATTGTCCGAGAGTGCTTCACACTTAATTAAATATATGTGGTACATGTGCCACATGGAGCAGCTGAGAGTCTTCAAAAAAGACTCAGTGGGAAAGTAATACAACTTGTTCTACATGCAAGATTACTTTTTTAAAAATTTCTTCCTGGATCACTGTATACTTTTATGAGCCTCCAAGATTGTTAATAGTGTAGAATTCACACAATGATACTGGGAGGTAAAACCATTATTCAGGAAAAAATGGGACTGGCTTGTAGGTCCGAGATAGACAGAGTGCTTGCGTAGCATGCGTAAGACCCTGGGTTCACTCTCCACTGAGAGAGAGAGAGAAAGGGGGGGGGGTCTTTTAATCACTTCTAAACTGTATGTTATTCTCTGAAGAGGTAGATGTGTTTGTTTTGTGTTAAATCTGGAAGACACATTGCCGGGAAGCATGCAAACCCCGTGGAAACCCTATTATGGAAAAAATGGCAGAACATTAGGAAAACACTAATTAATTTGAAAAACTATCATCATAGCTGATGAAATAAAAATATCACAGAACATGTCATTTCTTTGCAAGTATATGAAGTGTTTAATTAATTACTATTGTAAAGAGTTTCCCAGTTTAAAAAATGTTTCACAGGCACAATCTTACTTATCAGTGTACTTGTCCAGCAACACTTTCAGGAAATTTACCTACAACTTCATGAAACACGCCTAGTGCTTCCACTTGTGAGAAATGACCTCCTTAAATTGGAATGAATGTTGCAAACATGAGATTTGTATTTGCATTCAATTTTGAAAACATCCTCACTTCTTCAATCCCACCAGTCTTCTTAAAGTGGGCTTTCTACTGCTGTGATCAAAGTCCTTGCCACTGGCTCCTCTCACAAGAAAAACATTCTTAGGATGATGTTTTTCAGCACATGAAATTGTGATCTTTTTGAATAAGGTAGGAGTTGAACATCACGATAGGGAATGTGTGCTGTAAACACAGATACGTGAGGATAATAAAATATTCTGTTACCACTGACACAGCCTCATTAAAAGGCTTTGGCAATCCACGCTATAGGGAGGACATATTTCATGCCGGTGCATAGTAATGCACATCAGAGGTCTCGGTGGGGTGATTTTGTCGCTGTGCTCCAGAAGTGGGACACTGGCTCGTCCAGAGATGACTCCAAGAGCAGTATTTCAGCCGACAACTCAGGGGCAGGGGCCCGGGAAACCTCTGAACCATTAACGGTATACCCAGCAGCTTCCCAACACAAAATTAATCAAGCCAACAAGTTAGTCATGCAAACGCTATGAGCTCCTCATTCAAATCCATGGTGCCGTGTGTTAGATACACTCTTCCAAACTGGCTTCCAGTCTCGAGTTTCAGTTCACTCACAGAAGTACACTGCTAGAGAACCTCATTCCCTGAACTCTAATACTGAGTTTTATCGACCACGTTATTATTTGGCAACCTGATAAGCAGAAATTTCTCATACTTTTTTGTTTTCATTTTTTTGTACTTGTTTCAATGTCTTCTCAATTATTTATTCCAGAAAACTCATCTTCTTAATTCTTTTTCTGAGTTCTCACATCTATTTCTTATGGTCATACAAAAGCTCTTCTACATGAAATACGCAACGTAGGTTTTACAGACGCATACTAAACATGTATGACAGGATTGCACATATATCTTTCAGTTTATGTACTAAGCTTTTAATAAAGTTGTCTTGGACTTAGAGAAGTGGGGAGAAGGCTCCATGTTGTTTATTTTTGAGTTAAATAACTAAGGGGGGAAGCCCGGCTGTCTCAGGTCACCTGATGTGACCACTAAGGGACCAAGGACTCCACTGTAAACTGGACTCTGGTTGGGCATCTTTCTAGTCCACCAGTGTTGGAATCATGGCCATTTATTGCTTTTGGAATCCAAATGGGAAGCTTCTCAGGGAGGAAACGCTAAATTTGGTCAACAGAATTCCTTCTGATCTACAAGAGAGGCGGTGGAGTGTGTGTGTATGTGTGTGACATCCAGAGAGAAAGGCGGAGACTGAGAAATGCGTGTTTGTGTGAGTGGGGGTGTGTCTTTGTGAATTGCTGTCTGCGGAATGTCCTTGTTTTGGAGTCAGCTCCTGAGCCCTATATTACTTACAGCTCTGATTAAGAAATCATGTTAGTGGAGAAGCACTACATTCACAATATTTCCACTGAAAAATAACGTTAGTTGTACTTACAACGGGAAATGGGGCAATAATCCCAGGGAATGAGAGGATTCCCTGTGTAACACCAGGGTCCATGCGCATCGTCATCAGGATTGCGGCAGTAGTTCTTGTTCAGTTTACTGGCATCTGGCTCCCAGAAGATGTGACTGCGGAAACAACAGCCGGACATCAGAAGGGACTGCTCTACTCGTGAGAAACAGGATACAGTGCTAGCGCTTCCCTTCCGAGCAGACACTGCTAGCTGCTACTTAGTTATTTTGTTGCTATTTGGCTATTTTGTTAGGATCCATATTGTTTCTCTTGTCACAGTTGGAAGCTGTTTTCTAACCTCAGAATATCATTGGATACATTTTTCCAAACTGACTTCCAGACAGGCTTTTCATGCACAATATGAGCAGAGATTTTTGTGACTTTGCTTCTATTTAATGACTACAGTGGCAAATGACAGTATCTGTGCGTAGAAGTAGAGACATACCGGCAACAGAAAGAGACAGCAAAGCCCAAAATTATGCATAGAAATACAAACTATTGTAAAAGTATTTTTTCATGTTTCAGATGGAAAGAATCAACAGTATCAGTAACACAAAGACCCAGAAAATACACTAACAATTAACAATAAACTTCCAAAGGAATAATTAAATTCTGAAATCTTACTGGCCATATAGTTACAAAATGTCTTCCTGACAGATAACCAAGCAACAGTTCAACCTTTCTAATTGAATGCTCAAAATCCTCCTGTTCAACCTCTTCCTTGCATCATTTGTTCTTAAAACAAAACGGTGCCTTACAGTTCATTAATTTCCAGTGAAATTTTTCCAAGTCACTTTTAACTATTTCCAAAAATTAATCTTAAACTTCGTGCATTAAGAGTCATTGTTCTGGGGTTCCCTACATAGCTCCCATCTCCAGGGGTAGGCTGGCTGTGCTGCAGAACTGCCCTCAGGGATGTATGTATGTGTGTGTGTGTGTGTGTGTGTGTGTGTGTGTGTGTGCGCGCGCGCGCTAGGCAGGGGAGTCCTCATTTGGAGTAAACACTACCGCAGGAAAACTTCAAGCTTCCACGGGGACAGCCCCAAGGCAGTGCTGGGAGGATATGGGAAAAAGTGTCTCTCAGTCTCTCAGATCCACCCCCACTCACCGCTGCCTGTTCCTAAAAATAGTTTTGAAAACCAGCCGAAATCAGCTTGAAATCAGCTTTTAGTTTAAATGATCTGAATTCTTGCTTCAGTTTCTGTACTGAGAGATTTTAATGCTAAGGATAAAACCACAATTCTTCACTCAGCTGGCAGGGCTTTTATAATACTGGATTGCCTCTGCAGAATTTCTTCTCTGTGGACATTGACCAAATTATAGCCTCTCGGCCTTGCCAAAATCCTTTCCAATTTTCAGAAACCTTAACCTTTCTGCTCTGCATAGCTCTGCTTTGGAGCTGATGTATTCTCCTTCTGTGTCTCCCCCGGCCAAGTGCTACTCCTCCTGTGTGTCTCAGCTAAGGTCTCCCCTCGGGAGGCCATCCTGGTCATCTGAGGCTCTCAGGCTCTGCTTCGCCTTCCCATAGCATGAATCTACTTTCATGGGTTTGTGGCACAGCAGAGGAACGAACTCCCTGCTCGCTGGCTTCCTCTAATGGAGCTTGAGACCCTCAAAGGTTGAAGTCTGCTGAGATCTTTGAAGTCCTAAAGCTGCCACTTCCAGTATTGGAACCACGAACCACGTGTGGCCACTGAGGAACTGGTATGTGACCAATGCACACAGAAAGGTGGGGTCCGTGTAAACGGACACCAGGTTTTCATTGTAGAGCATATACAAAAAAGACATAAGAGATGTCATTAAAAATGTTTATGTTGAATGCATATCAAAGTAAAAAATCTTTAGATATATAGTACTGGGTTAAATGACACATTAAAATTAATTTTTGGCTATTCATTTTTACTTCTTTAAAGTGGGCTATTAAAAACAAAGTGTATATGTAGCTTATTATATTCATGAGATGCATTATATGTATGTTAGAAAGCATTGTTTAGAACTATTGATATTGTGAAATAAATTAATTGAAACATTATCAGGCACTACTGGGTATATTCTGGAAGTAAATGTGGTTTTCTGAAATTGAAGTGTAAGAGAAACAAAGTGATTCAATTTCTCAGAGCCCTTAAATTCTTATTCACGTGGAATTATTCCCAAGAAGGATATGGTAGTCACCCGATGTCAGCACTCATTGAGAGCTATCCTGTGATGGGCTCTTCATTGACCTGAAAGTTTTTTCTCTATTGTGTATATTCTGGGATGTTTACTTGAAATCTGGTGTAGGTCACAATGATGTGTCATACTTGTTTTATAATTTTATAAACAGCAGACTATTTCTGGGGCCCAGCAGGTATTTTGTGTGTGTGTGTGAATATGTTCAATATAAAATCTGCAATTTTCTATGTATAGATTTTTAAATATATAGTGGTTTTTTGTACCTGGGATCGAACTCAGAACCTTACACTTGTGAGGCAGGCACGGTGCCACTGAGCTAAATCCCCAGCCCAGTATATATACATTTTTTAAAAGTTATATATACAATCCTGAAATAATTTGAAAATTTTATATAATAAAGCTAGCCAAGAAAACCTGGTTCTCTCATTTTAATAGACAGGTGAATATTTAGCTCAGAACACACAGTGAGTGCTCAATAAAATACCCTGGATTGAATTGTATATTAAAGGTTTTCTGCATGCAGAGACAATGTTATTAGTTATACAGGAAGATAAATGTAATGTTTTCATCGGTTTAATAAGACAAAGGATAAGCAGAAAGACAGATGAGCGTGCGTCTGCATGCACACGGCTATTGGCCCTGTTCGTGTACCAAGAACAGTCTACACACCGATGCAAGTCTTCCATGTTCCGTGCCCACATGGAGCACGTCAGTCCAGACCTCGTTTTGGATAAGCTGCCCATATAATTTTTTCCATTCCCACGATAACAATCTAGACACAAAATATACAAAAAAACAAGTGGTGAATGCTACGAAAGGTACAGCAAAAACATTTTACAAGTATATGAAATCATGAAAATCAATATATTTAGACAAAGAACCTGAAGTCTGTAACAGTAGAGACCTAAATATCTCAAATTAAAATATCCCTATTTCCAGTTCCATTTTTGCTTCATTAAAGTAAGTACTTCTGCAACTTCAAAACCAAAAGATTCAATGAGCAATTCATTAGGCTACCAAAGAAATGAGAACTTTTGGAATGACATAGGTATTTCCCAGATTTCCTTCTGAAAAATTTCTTTCCGCAGAAATGTTGCAAGAACAATGTAATGAAAGTCACAGGCGGTCGTACAGCCACGCTAGTGTTTTGTTTCTGTATCCCTGACACTGCCAAGTCACCCACACCAGCTGCCCCACAAACGCTCTGTGTCCTGTGCAGCACACGGCCCGACAAGTGACATCAGTTCGGTCATCAGTGCTGATACAGTTGATCCCTTTGCTAAGTGATGTCAAGGAAAAACTTCTCTCTGTATTTAGACAAAACAGTCGCCCCAGGCATTTGAAATGAATTAAACATTCTATTGCCAAACAAATTTGCACAAAATGGCTTAAGTGTACGTTGGTGAATTTCCGTGAATCAGTTATTACTGTGCTGGTTGTAAAAGGGTTGTTTTTCTAATATTTCTTTATATTTCTTAGTTGGTATTCTTCTGTAAACAGAAAGTTTTTCCCCCTACCCCTTCCATCTGGGAATCAGAAATGCAGCTATTATAATAAAAATGTTACATTGTAGCAGAACTGGGAATATAATGTGGACTTGTGGATTCTCTTTTTCTTCAATGTGCTATATAATATATCCCTGTTATTCATCTCTATGCTCCAAATGATCATTTGGCCAATTGCAGCCACTTTAATCTGACTCCTCTGTCTCTTACCATGTTCTGGGTGGTTTTATTTCCCTTTTTTAATTGAGCAATCTGTGTCCTATTACCATTGATAGAAGTGTGCTAATTCTTAACAAAAAGAAATTAACAATGTAAGTTTTTAATCTACATTTAAGCAGTTACAGCCAGGTGTGGTTGCGTAGACCTGTAATCCCAGGTAATCCAGAGACTGAGGCGGGAAAATCATAAATTTAGGCTACCCTAGACAGGTAGACAGACAAGGCAGTGAGACTGTGTCTCAAAATAAAGGATAAAAAGGACTAGGGGTGTAGCTCAATGGTAGCCTGGGTTCCAATCCTAGTACCAGAAAAAAAATAAAAAGAAACACCATTCCCTAATTATAAATAATTGTTGTGAATTAAAAAGTGACTTTATTAAACATTCCTAATTTTACATACATAAAACTGTAGATTTAACTATAAAATGTTGTCTTCAAATGCACATTAACATTATTAATATTCTATGCTTCCCTTTGGTTAAAGCATAGCATCTTGTCATTGGCTTTAAAATATCCTATGTGATTCTAGGAAACAATATGTGAGCAATCCAAATAACACTGATTAAATGAATAATTTGATCATTTCCGAGAACCAGTTAAAAGAATTAAGAAAGAAAAAGTACCTTCAATGATCATTGTTCAGATCCTTGGATCCAATTTGTATTTCTGCTATAAGGATTTGGACTTAAAGGTGAAAGCTCAAACTGTCTAAGACTTTGATGCAGATAACGTCACAGTCTTTACAGTGCCTTATCAGTGTGTTTTTAGACAGCATAAACCTGGGAAATCCAGTATTTGCACATGTGGAGGGGGCAACCCCCCCAAAAAAACATTTTCCCCTGTAGACCCTGCCTTTTCACAGTGGGGAATCTGACCCTTTGACAGCTAGGGAGTAGCTCTTTCCTGGGCCTTTGCTAGTCAGAGCTCCCTGGGGGCATTGGCCTTGCTTTTTATCCATTTCATTGTGTTCACCTGAATTTTCCATCTAGGATGAAAGACTCACTTCTACCAACAACTTCTTGTTTGAATGTGGGCCATCGACTAGGTTGTCCTTAGGAAATGCTTTACTTTAGAAGAGGTTTTAGCTTAAAATGAAGTGGTCAAGCTGACAGACTCCCTGAGCCTCCTAATTTCCTCTGCTCTGGACCAGTTAGGTCACTGACTGGATCCCTCACTGCTGCCCAGCTACCTTTAGCACCTGAACAGAAGCGCCTACTTCTGTTCACATTTTCTTAGTTTTCACCTGCTACTCTGCTTTGCAGGGTCCCACATTGTCCTCACTCCGGTATCCTAAGGGTCCTTGATGTGACTACTCCTCAGACTCTCTGTTTGTCGTTGCTGATGTTGTTGTTGGTGGTGTTTTTATTTTTATCATTTATTTTTATCAGCAGCTATTTGCCATGCTTAGTGATCACATTCATTATGGGGAACGTGTAGGTGAAAACATCTTAATTCTCCTTTTCTTTCCATTCCCCTGCCCTCCCTTGACCCCTCATGCCCTCCCCATTCACAAAAGCTCGGTTTCTATTTGTCCTCCCATTCCTTTTCTAAGTTCCTTTCCCTCCCTTCCCTCCCTCCTTCCTGCTCCCTTGTTCCCTCTCCTGTGAACATGCTCTTCCTGCTTCCCTGCCCTCTTTGGTTTCGATGACACTGGCGGTTCTGAGAGCTGTTGAGAGGTATTTGATGACATACCTCACGACTATTTGTCTTATGCTTTCCTCTGGGTTCAAAGGGTCCCTGAGAGGACAATATGAGTTTTAAGCACATCTTAATTTCCACTCCCTTCATCTGATAAAGTTATACAGTGTGTGCATCCGTGTGCACACACACATGTATTTGTCACGAGTAACTGCGGATTGCTCCAACTTCCATCAAACATCACAGCGTTCTTCTCCTGCACGTCAGTTTTCTACCTCCTTTCTCCCATAGTAGGAGCCTTGATTCCAAGTAACATCACTACTGGCTCATTTTCTCAATTCTACAATGCACACAGACTGATCTCAAAGCTCTTACATCCTAATACGAACAAAAGCAACCAGTAATTTAAAGTGCGACACAGATGTGGTGGCTCACACCTGTAATCTCAGCACTCTGAGCGGCTGAGGCAGGAAGGTTGCCAGTTCCATCCCAGTCTTGTAAATTAATGTAAATTAATGAGACTTGTAAATTAATGAGACTCTTTCTTAAAATAAAAAATAAAAAAGAGGCTGGGAGATATGGCTCAATGCAAAAGTCCGAGGTTCAATCCTTATGGCAAAATAAATAAATGCAAAATATATTTACAGTTATTTTGGCCTTAAAAATATATCCCAGTGAGGATATATCCAGTCAAAGAATTTTATTTAAAAATACTCTGGATATTTCTCCTTTTCTGTAATAATGGTATCCGTCTGATATATGGATTGACCCATTTCTATGTTTTCTCCCACTTTTTTTGGTTGAGTATTTAAAACATTAATGTTGGCTAATTGTCCAAACTGTATGAAAAGTTATGTTCAACCAAGTGTCCCTTAGCCTTTCTCTTCAGTATCATGCTGTGTCTGTTCAGGTCCCAGCACAGCCCAAGAGCAACTTCCCAGCCCTGTCTGTAGTTCCAGGGCTGAGTTGACTTTACGTTTTTGTCAAAACTAAGCAGATGCACACACACAAATACAGTATGAATGTACAAACTCATGTGTTTATGGAAACACTCCCTCTATATTCTTCTATCTCATCCTTCATTTCTTGTCACACAGTGAACATACAGTTTCGTGCCATCCTTTATTAAAATGTAGCCATAGTCACGCGGAAAACACCGAATCAGCCCTCTGCAGACAGGCAAGTCTCTGGAAGTGGTCCCGGGGTCACCAGTCGAGCGGAAGGAGCCAAATTGGCCCACGCTCCGGCAGCAATCCACTGGACCCACCCCCCGGTCCTTTGGCCTCTTCTCTATACAGCCACCTGGTTCCACACTACAAAGACACAGAAGACACCGGACCACCAGACCACTGTACTGGAGCTAATCAAGTTCTCAGCATTTAAAGAATTCCTGCCCAGAGGTAGGGGCTTCTGAGCCGCCATCCCACTTCTCCTGGTGCAGAGGAAGGGGCTTCCAGGTGGCCAAACGTCCTGCCACTCCTGGCCCAGAGGAAGGGGCCTACAATCACTCCTGGCCCCTGGCCCACCTGTCCCATCTCAGAGGAGGTGAGCCACGCAGATGCCAACAGCACCCCCCCACCCCCAGTCGAAATGAGAAAACATGTAAATAAGTCTCAAAAACAGAATTCCAGATCACCTACAGCAACCTCAAAGGGAAATGAGATGGAACACTCTGCTACTCAACCACCTGGACCCACTGAACTGGCAACAAAAGGCAATCTGGAAAAAATGAAATCAGAAATAATTTCTCAGATAACAGGAGAAATTGTGCCCCTAGTGCAAGACATGATTAATAAATCTAGAGAG